AATCATTTATATGAACTATTCCACCTCAATCAATTCTCGTACACACGATGTCGCCTGTTACAACTATCAACTTGTAAGTAAACAACATACTAGTTTTACGCACATGAAGAGTGTTCTGCCTTACGGATCGTTTAATTTTTACTCAACATGCAATGCGTTTCCGGTCAAAGCAGAACGCAGCACAGCGATTTAGATATCCGTCAAATACGAGTTTATTCGGTAGTTTATCAACATTTTCACGAGAAAATTATCTAACGTTTGTGGGCAATGAAGGTTTAAGCATAAATCAGTTTGCAAAACAAAAAAAAAGGGCGCATTTGAAAATTTGCCTTCGGAAGATATCGACTTGCACCCTTATTTCAAGACGCCGTCTGGTGACCATTTAACACGTGATACCAGTAACGCAACCTGGGAACAAGGGGGAACTTATCAATTTCAGCCAAATTGAAACGGTTGCAAATTGTGTGTGACTTTGTCGCCCTTTTAAATTTTGAACTTGCTAATTTCACTCCATTTGAAACGTGGCCGTAATTTCCGTTGCGAATAAAAATTTGTACCTTTGCAAATTATCATTTGACAAAGCCATCATTAGTATATATATCCTTTCAAGTAAGTCTGATTAAAAGTGGGTTTCGAGAGGAGATAGGAAAGTAATACGCCTTGTCTGCGACCATGAGGCAAACTGCCATATACAATCAAAAGAAATGCAGCTTTTTCTGAATACAGAATTTAGAAAACCACTACCTTCACTTTCTGAGCCATTCTCCAAACGTTTCAAGCACCCTCGTGTGCATGTATACGTTAATTAATAGAATGTTACAGGTCCAATTGATTTCTTTAAATTCAAATTATTTTAACGTTATACAACGATATTTTACGTGTAGAGTAATAATTTGAAAGCGCACGTGAACAACGTTCAGAAGAACTGGTAAAATAGCTTCCCTTAAAATGATTCTGCGATCATTAAATAATCCAAGTCGTGTCACTCACGCGGCATCGAATGTCAAGAAAAGAAGTTCGCAGTTAGGACAGGAAAAAACACAAATTTATCATTGCAAATGCATAACCCACAGTTTATCAGTTTTTACCCGTGCTACGCTGCATCTCTAAATTCCCTTTGCAATTCATTTCTCAGCTTACACGGCTAATCACTTAATTCAATGGCAAGTCACGTCATTAAGTCCTCGCCAGTCAGGAAAGATTCCAAATCGTCAGAAGTGATTTTTACCCGTTAGAGGCATTTCTCCGTTTGTACTCGATTCTTACGTAATCTCATCACGTGATCCTCGCGTGGGCAAATTTCAGCATGTGAGCCTTTCAACTTAATTAAGTTTCCCCGCGTCATCTTTAATGTCTCCTCGAAGAAAACGCCTTCAAAATGAGCTACTTTATCCTATTTCGTGACAAAACGGCAAGCACTCCTTTGGATCGCGTTCATGCCACAATTGCACAGACAGCAAGCCGGTAGCCGTCCATTTGTCTAAGTGAGTTAAGCTTCTCATGTGTAATTGATTTCTTCTGCGGTGGAAGCACTCAAGAAATTGAAATTTTGATCAAAGAAATCACAGGTGTAGCGGTTTGCTATCTTATGGCTTTAATAATTATTAAATTGCACACGGTATATATAACGACAGGCTTAGACGGGCTGTATTTATTTATTTATTTATTTATTTATATATTGGTGTTAAGAGATTTTTATTGATTGGCAATGAAACTTTCTTTGTTCTTCAAAAATAGATTATGCGGAAAAAATCCTGAAGGCGTGTTACATCCTTAACATATTATGATATCACTGTCTCAGTAAAAATCTATGTATTTATCGCTGATTAAAAATACTAGGAATACATGAGCCGTGAAGTCTGTTCAAAATTATGACGGGCGCTAGGCAATTTCGTTGATTTTAATTTTGGCGCCAGAGCCCCATAATTGGTTCCTTAATCAGTCAGAATGCGCGGTTTGAGAATATACATGCTTTAATTTTTGTAGTTCGGCGCATGTTTCCCCGTTACTGATACATGATTAAGGGATATAGCCAGATATTTCACCGGGTCAAAATGCAAATTCGCCGTAGGATCCATTATACATGTTCATCTAAAGAAAAATGTCCCTGATATCTTTAATTTTCAACTTTGCAATTTTGGGATATACATAAAACGTTGATTTCTGCGGTTTTTTAGATATATTCTGTGTATGGAAGCTGTTGGTTTGTTTTATTGTTGTTGTTGTTGTGCTTCAGAGTGTGTGTGTTTGTGTTTATGTGTGGTGGTGGTGCGGGGGGGTGGGGGGTGGGGGGGGGGGTTGCTGGAGTCGGCCTAACCCCTCACCTCAGTATATCTACTGAATCCATTTCCGTTTTTATAAACACTAATGTGACGAACTTTCTTGAAGAAAAAGAAAATGTCCTGTAGATTGATGTGAAATCTATTGCTATTGCTTTCACGTTGCTTTATTATTATTATTATTATTATTATTATTATTATTATTATTATTATTATTATTATTATAATATAATCTAATTTGTAGCTTTTCCTTTAACTGTAAAAAAAAAAAAAAAAAACAGTCACTTTGCGTTCACTTTGTTACTGGTACAAATTTATTGGTTTTCTTGTATGTACTTGCATCTCATTATTGTACTAGAATGAAAGAATGCATATCAATCTTTCTAAAGGCATTATATAAAGTTTTCTTTATATATACAGCTGATTGAAGAAAACGCTAATGTATTTATATTTATCATTTAAAGAATGAGGAGGAGAAGAGAATCCGTGGGTCCGGTTTTATTGTTCCATTTTTCTGTCTGACTTTATAACTCGGCACCTGAAGGAAGGCCGTATAATATTCGCCAGTTAATACCTCCTATTGAAACTGATACCGCCGTAAATATCTTCTCTACCTTCACGTGGCTTTTCCTTTCCGTTTCTTATTGGAATATTACATGTCATAAATTGAAATCTATTGTTGAGCTTACCAGTTGTTAACTAAGGATAACAAAACGGCGGAAATTAGTACTCTATTATCTCTTTATCTTGATTTCTTTTCTTCTCTTTATCGCACGCTTCATAATTTCGTATTGGAAGTGCTTTGAGAAGCACCGTAGGCCTAGATCATTAAGGGTTCAGTGGTACTTGGTTGATGCACAATTTAGATGGGAAATGAACTTTTCCAGGCCCATAGCTAGGGGGGTTCGGTGGTGGGGGGGAGTTTCGAAAGAACCACTCTTTTTGCTAGGAAAAGATCCGCTCTGGGTAAAATTTGATCTATGTACGCGAGGGTTTTATGGTAAAAGGCCCGCTTTTTCAGAAAAAGACTGGGCTGCTTTCCCAGGGGCGGATCCAGGATTATTTAAAGGGGGGGGGGGATCTGCGGATGGCGTGAGTTTCGGGCCCGAGAAGATTTTTTTGGTAATTTAGAGAGTGAACGGTGCCATTTGGTAGACCTACGGACCCCTCTGACACCCTCCTAAATCCGCCACTACTTTACGAAGATTGAAAAACAATCAAATTGTACCTCATATACATTATACAAAATATTCACTACGACTAGTATGGCAATAATATAATTGTAAAAGATTCAGCTTTCTGTTTTTTGACCAATATCAAATTTTGTCTTTACCTTGTTACTAATAATTTGAAATCGAAGGAGGGGGTCAGGATCCACCTAAATCCCCCCCATTATAGCCTATTAGGTCTATATCGGCCCTACGGTTGCATGCAGTAGTGAGACGTTTACTAGGCCTATAGGCCTATAGAGCAGGGGCGTAACTAGACCTTTTAAAATTGTACGCACAGATTTTGAAAATTCCCAGGATTATATTCCGTGAAAAATACACTGAATTTATGGAGAATAATATCATGGTTGGCTCAAAAATTGTACGCACAGTGCATCCGTGCGTATGCCTGGTTACGCCCCTG